ACTTTGACGCGAAGTTTATTGCAATTTACAAATTAATTTACAAATCTGTAGGAGATCTCTTTTTAATTATAACATTTACAACCTTTAAACGCGTGACAGTCAATGAATATACAAATCTGTGTATTTACTAATTGTAACTGTTCTTCCAACTCTCAACACCATATCAAGTCTAATCTTTTGAATTATTACGTAAACATGGGCTGAGTTTGAAGCCCGCAACACCCGATAACATATAACACAAAATGTACAAAAAATATATATATATCATACTCTGTGATATGTCTTTACATACACCGATATGAATAACCATGTATTCCGGTAAACACATGAGTGCAGTGCGCATTTTTAAATTCTCTTGTCTGCCTATAATCCGAGCAAGGTTTTGTCTCGTGAGTTTAAAATTATTATAGGCGTATTAAGACAGAATTTTGTTCAACACTTTCCATTGTCTTGTGTGTTTCGTGCTTCGTGAGAAGGGTCTAAGTCAAAAATAATTTTTGTCGACTTAATCCCTTTGTACCGAGCACCAAAAATGTATCAATTATTCAGGTTTGCTTCTTAGATTTTTCTTAGAGATATTTTTAAGATTTTTTTTTTTGTATTTACGCTCATGTATTGCATATTTCCGGTTCGAATTCATTGTCTTGAATAAGCAGAATAAGCTGATAAAAGAAAAATATTCAAAAACTGTTGGCTATTATCGTAGAAACCCTTTGCCGTCTGTCCCCTCCAGTGAACCTCCACCAACCTCTGAGCTACTCAGTCTATTTACATTAGTGACCTTAAGGAATATAATTATTTATCAAAAATAATATATTAAATGTAATTTTGTATGCGATATTTATATAAGTGCCTTTTCCGTGTTATTAAAACGTTGTTTAAAATTTTAAATAATAAAAACATTACTAAACTTATCAAAATTAATATTGTAAATTAATTTGCGATAATACGTATTTTGTGTTGGGGTGTGTTTCCAATGTAAACACATTTTTATTCTGGGAAAACCTCGGTGATTAGCCAAATAACTCAAATGTAGTTCCGAATACATTTGTACATAACGATAAAGGATTTTTGAAAAGTAGATAGTTGAGGACTCTTTATGTATAATAGCTCAGTTGCTCGTGTTATGATTTTTGTAACTTGAAGGAATTTCAGTGTCCACTGGTAGCGGGCTTTTGTGAAGACGGTAACGAGCCTTCGGGTTCCATTCGTACTGTTAGCTTATCAAGAAGGACTCTGTTCGATAGAGTTGGTTCATTTTTATGCGAAATTGCAACTAACCATGTAGCATGCAAGGTTTCACCGAGCCAGGTGAATATAAGTCCCAAATTTTGACTAGATGTTGGCTCGCTTTTCGGTTTGTCAGTGCACGACTGCAGTCTTAAGCTTCCGTAAGCAAGTCATGTAGATGTCTCTTCCCTGCAAGTGAATCTGTCCTACAGTTCTGACATCACTATTGAAATTCTAAGAAAATCATTTGTGGAACAATTTTCTGTGTCTTTTACCTGTAAGTGAGGACAAATTACGTGTGTAGACAAAATATGTTTTTTGTTGCACAAAGCCTTCGTTGACACAATAAATTTGTTTCCTTTGTTCACAGAGACAAGCTAAAACATATATAACCGAAGTAAGTCAGTGAAGGGTTAATGGTCCTCTTAAAAGAAGGAATCATCAAAGGAAAAGTCCTGTTTTATTAAATTAAATAATTGTATCAATTTACTGTTCGTTTACTAAATAATCTCGTGATTTTGTTTGTGATTACGCTTGATTAATAATAATGCAGTTGCGATGGGAACTGTCCAATGCGAGATAAACAACCTACTAGAAAGATCTATTTATGCCTTCAGGTGATTTCTGATTCAGATGCTCTTCTAAATAATAATCGAATTTCGCAAATTAGTTTTGTCATATCCGTCCATATTTTTTTGTACGCAACGGCCAATTTCTATCAAACTTGGTATGATACACCTACACAAGACTTGTGTCGAACGATTTAGATTTTGATTCAGTTTGAATCATATTAAAGTCAAAATTATTGTTAGTTTTTTATTCTGAGGCTTTGGACGGATTTTGACAAAACTTTACACGTAGGCCAGTAAGTTCATTCACTTGAAATAATTTTGAGGTGAATTTTAATTAAGGTATTAAATAAAAATTTAATTCTTAACTTTAACTAGACTGCTGTAGAACTTGATACAGACTACAGATGTAAGTTTAATTTGATGCTCGCCACTCACCTCCATCTAGTGCCGAGGTCAAGAACGAGTAGGAGCTATATCGCTCTCCCCACAAGCGTCTACATGGCGTGTAGCGGGATAGCCTTATTTTTCTTTATTTGCAGACCTTCGGCAGATGTTTAAAATCTTAATATGCTAAACTTCCGAAGGACATTAAAAAGTCCTCCACAATCAGTCATTTAAGATACTTTCATTTTAATGATAGGCTTTAAACGAGCAGTTTAATTAATTAAAGACCCTTGTTACTTAACTGCCCGAGTATTAAACTTTTAGGAGTATCTCTTGAATTATTCTATGAGGGAAACCCATCTTAAATAAGGTAAATGTGCTATGACTTACGCGGCATTCACTTAAATATCACTGATTTAAAAGAATCACTGATATAATATCAATACGTATTATGTGTTTGCAGTCTAAAGCATTGTCCAATTTCCTCCTGGAGTCCTGTCGTTTATCTTACAATGCACTAATCCAGACAGTAGACAGATGCCGTACGCGGTATAAAAACGTTCCAGGGTTACAGCCTAATTAAATTTTCTGTTGGCACGGTCTGTGTTCGATCGCTTTGAATCATACACTTGTTTTACTGTTGTATTACTGAATTACAAAAAAAAAAACCCAAAATATGTCAGTATAATTACAGTCAATCACATGACGAGAGGGGTAGATCCAAGGTACGAAACATCTTACACTGGACAAAGCCAAATATGATCGCACTGCAATGAATTCGTGAAACAGAGACAGTATTGGAATATCAAGCTCCAGTTCTGGCGAAATTTAGTTGAAAAATGAAACTTCTTACGGCCTATTAGACAAGATAATGAGGAGTAAAGTGCCGATGTTTTGAAGACACCATTTCGAATACTTTCTTTTTTCAATTTTTTAACAAAGACATGTATGTATACACTCGTGTTTCTCGAATTCTGTGTCTTTGTGTAAAGGAGGACTTAGGTAGAATTTCGCTGCTTCAATAGTTTCTGTCTGCAAACACGTCCACACCAAGACACGGACCAATACATCGGTATGTTGATCACTTCAGACAGTGCACAAGTTTTTAAAACAGTACAGGGAAACAGGGAGACAGATTTTCCTGCCCACAACGTCTATTTCTGCAGATAAAATCATCCTAATAGCAGGTTTTGTAGAAATGTACCACTAACGGACCACTTTTCAGTCCTGCACCACATCCGATGACACATGAGTGGATATAGAGCCACGGTGGATTGACACTGACAGTGGAAATCGTGTGGGACTCAAGACTGCCTCTTTGCCAACTTCAAATTCCACGTGGTCTGTCTTGGGTGCGAACCTGGGTCTTGGCGGTGAGGAGCCCACAACTAATCGCCTGCGTACTGCATCGGGTAGTTCATTTACGATGACCATGGAATAAACGAGAAGAAGCCGATCAGTTATTGGTGGTTAACGTTATTGAATTACCTTCGGAACTTTGTAAATTCTTTGTCGACTCGAAGCCTTCTCGAAGTTCAGATCCGTGACGTCTTGGACAAAGTCTGAGTTCATTGAATTTTAAACTAAAATGCCTGGTATGATTTTTCATTCTTACAGACGCACAAA